GCCATAATGTCAACGAGAATTCTACTTACAAGTTTTCTTTTTTAACAATAATTTTATATCGATTAATAATCGTATAAATTTAAATAAACAGTGAGGACAAAATGTATTTGATTTTAGAATTCTCGTTGATCGACGTAGGAAAAAAATGAGAAGAATTTTTTTTTAAGTCAAATTAAAGTCATTGATTTAAACCTACGATCTAAATTGTTTTAAACTAAATGGCAATATTTCTTTTTTTCTCTACAATTATAGGCGACTATCAAATACGTAATAAATTATGATAATCAAGCTTATCACTTCTACGCTTAATGGAAAAATTGTACAAAACGTTGGATGTAAATGATACGAATTTTTAGAATTAAACAAAAACAAAAAAAAAACAAAGAAAAAAAGGAACTTCCACAAATGGGAGAACTTTACAACCCTGTTAGGAGCTACTACTTAATATTTAAATATAAACAAGAAAAAAAAAATAATTGCAATGCTTTTTTTTTTTTTAAATGTGAATCAACAACGTTCACAAAGCCGCAAGCATTATTTGGCCTCTTTATGCAAAAAACTATTACGGCGAATATTAGACGAATAAGATATATATATTTTTTTTTGTTATCGAGCTATATCAAAAATTTTATCTCTCTATTTTAATTACTAATATTACGATGCAATTATGAAAGTGGCCTCTAATAGAAAATTCGCAAGTAATTACAAAATAAAAAAAAATAAAAAAACCGTTCAAATCTTATACTTAGTACGATTCATTTCGATTCTATTATTAATTATTAGAAACAAACAATTTTTGGAAGATAATTGGAAGAAAAAAATACATCTTATCTTCTTCTTTTTTTATCTTTTTCTCTCATTAAACATCAGACCACTTTCCTAATCTACGAGAAGACGATTTTTTTTTAATCTAAATAATTCAAAGCGTACCCTCAAAAAGTAGGCAGTGATTCGTTTCAATTGTCTCGTTTCGATCTCAACGACGATTAGAAATAAAAAGAAAAAAATATATATACAAAATAATATTGAGATCGTATTGAAATATTTAATTAAAGAATGAACAAAAAAAAAAACATACACAAAAATAAAAAATAAAACATAAGTTTCCATACGTGCAATTCCATCTCGAATTGTCATGTTGTTCATGAAGTTAACCTATTGTATTTACAACGTTAATTTAAACAAAAACAAAATTAAGGGATACATGATCAAAGGAAGACGCAGTTTCTTTTTCCTTTTTTTTTTTTTTCAAAATACGACTTTGAATCAAACTCTAAATCGATGTTTAACACCGTGTCGAGATTTGATCTTTCGTACGGAAACTTCAAAATCATTTGTTGTTTTTTTCTCTTATTTCGAATCAACACGCGGCACTTTCTCGTTCGATATTTTACAAAGCGTAAACTAAAGCAAAAAAAAAATATTACGTTGATATAATATTAATAATAATAATTAACACTTTAATGGCCGCTCACACAACATGTGTGTGATAGCTGGAACAACCATTATTGGCCGTTATTTATTTATAACTTTTTATGTATTTAAAATTATATAAAATTAAATTTGTCGTTAAATTGTTGTTGTTGTTGTTTTTTTATGTTAATTTTTGGGTGAATTGAATAAACTGTTTTTCTAAATTAATTTTTCAAAAATATTACCGACCCCTAGCGACGTTATGCATAGACGTGCGGCCATTAAAGTGTTAATATAATAAAAATTAAAAAAAAGGATAATTTATCTCTCTTTCTCGTTATCTCACTTATCTCATATGTGTGTTTTTTTTTCTTTTCTTTTTTCTTTTTTTACGCGACCGCAACTACGATTAAAAAAATGTTTATATTTGCGACTATTAACACGTGCACCGTCGTCTCAATCAAGCTGCGTTGTATGTATTTCGTTTTATCGTGTAAAGGTATTCAAAAAATAATTCGGTTTCCTTCCGTTCATTTAAATCTCAATCGACGACGTTTAAGAAAAAACCAAACGTCCATTTTCTATACATCTATCATCGCGTTAATTCAATTGGCTGAGAACAAATATTGTACAAATAAGTGTCGCGTGTGATACTTAAAGGACAAATCGTAATTCCCAAATCGAGATAGAATTTGTTTAACAAAAATTCCAAACTTTTGAAAAAGAAACAAATCAAACAAACGAAAGAGAAAGAGACAGACCAAGAGAGAGAGAGAGAGAGAGAGAAAATTAGAGAAAGAGAAAGATAGAAAGAGAGAAAAAGAGAGAAGTATGCAAATTTTTAAAATTCAAAAACAAACATTCGAAATTTTTTTCAATGGAAATTTTAGGTTCACATAAATTGTTCTCACTCTTTTTCTTTCTCTCTCTTTCCCTCTCTCAATTAAATAGAATTTATTTTTCTTTCTTTTTCCACTATTTTTACTTTTTTCTCTCTTTTCATTCACATCGCAAATTCTTTTAGCTTTGTTTTTTTACTTTTCATCTTGCAATATCATTGTTGTTGTTACTTCTCATTCGTTTCTACTAATTTGTTCAGTATTTTTAAATATTTTTAATTAATATTATATTAAATAAATGATCAGTTAATATATGTGTATATATATATATATATTTTTTTATTTTAAATTATTTATTAAATATTTTAAAAAAAATTTAATTAAACGATTAATTTATTAAATACATTCTAAATATATAATTATAAATAAAAAATAATATATAAGATGTGCATTATTATAGTTGGTATATTCCTATAAGATAAATACTGTTGTTACAAATACTATAACAAGTATTTGTATGATACGTTGTAATACTGATCCACTTAAATTACATCCTTGATATTAAATTACATATTTCTGATCATTTGTTTAAAATCAAAACCAATCCAAAATTGATTATATTTATTGGTTATATATATATATCAGTAATTAGTGATAGTGGATTAGGTTTAACAAAAAGAAAACAAAAACAAAAAGTAAAAAAATCAATTTCATTATTAATCTTATAATTCGAATAATTGATATTACAAAATAAAATTTATAACAAATTATTCGACGTTAAAAAATCCACTATCACAATTTATTACTCGTTAAAAATATTCAAAAATACTAACCCCAACAAATATAATAATATCAGTCCTTTCTTTTCATCGTTTATTTATTTATTTATTTTTATTTTTTTTATTTCTTCTTTCAATTCCTTTTCATATTGAACTTTTGATTACTTTTGTTTTTCTCTCTCTTTCTTTCTTTTTCTCTCTTTTACTCTCATATTTTCTTTCACGCGTCACCACCCTACACACACACACACACACACACACGCACACGCACACGCATACAAACACGTTGCTTTTTTTTAATCAGGAATCGGGAAGAGATAGAGCAGAACCAGGGTTGTTAGGAATGTTGCAAAAAGCATCGCGGACAAGACGCGGTCCTGAATCGTACGGGGTGAACCTGCGGCCGACTCTTCGTTCCCTTTCTCAACAACTTCTTCTACTTCTTCTTCTTCTGGAAGAAGGAGAAGAACGGAGACGAGACGTGCCAAAGCCTCGAGCCCGTACGCGTCCATGTAACCCACGTCCATGATTGCGTCCGCGTCCATTAACACCTCCTGCAACCAACAACGATACTACTCAGTCCCAATTATATTTTCTCTCTTTTCATTCGTTATTTTTCTTTTTATTCATTTTCTACATTTTTTTTCTTTCTTCCAAAAAAATTCAATTTCATTTTTACAAGACAATTATTTTTTATCCTCGATAAAAAAAAAACTACGCGAATTATATTTATATTATTATTTTTCTCTTTAATTTTCTTTTACTGTGACACGCTTTTTGTTCGAGTATTTCAATCAAATCCGTTTCTCGAGGTTGGATACAATCTTAAATAACCACCCCCCACTACTTTTCATTATTTTATTTTTTTATTTAATGTATTCAACGAGATAGAGTTTATAAATGTGTTCATTTATTTATAATTATTAATTTAATCATCGAAAAAAGAAGTTAGATCGGAATATCGTGAGAGAAGAGATTATTAAACCCCCTCCCACCCTCCCTCCCCCCTCTCTCTTCGAACAAAGTCATATTAAATCCCATTTGTGTGCAAAAGCAACGAGCGACACAGAAGCAATTATCAAAATCTAGGCGCATGCATCTAAAGCTTCTTTTGAATTTTTTTCCAAATTTTTTTTTTTTTTTTTTTAATGTATTATATACTTGTTCCACCCTCAAGAAACGCGTTCTTTTTTCTTCTTATTGCTTTTGAATATTTTTTTCTGTCTCTCTCTTTCTCTCTGACTCTCTCTCTCTCTCTCTCTCTCTCTCTTCATCTCACATTTTCTTCCTCTCTTCTTCTTTTAAATTGCCCGCGGCTACAATGGGGACTGACTAGTAGAGTTGTTGGAAGTTTATTACCATCGATAATCATAGAACATGATGCTATTTTCAAGCATTAAAGTATAATTGTTTACATAAATATTTCTATACAACGCCAAGGTACAAATTTAATTTTATTTAAATAACTATTTATCTATCTATATATATATATATATACACGTTAATAATAACGTTTAGATATACGTTGCAATCGAGATAACGAACTACAACTCTATCTCTTTTTATTTTTTTTTTTTCTAACACACGTTCATCATCACAATCGCGTCGTGCATAAAATATTTTCATTGTAATATTAAAAATATACCGAGAGTAATCGTTTTCGCTATAAAATAAAAAATACGGATTGTATACAAATTTATGTATGTTTTTGAAGAAAAAAAAAAAAAGAAATAAAATTTGCTTAAAATTTATATATACCCTGTGTATACAATTCCTAAATAAATAATTCATGCAAAATTAAACTACCGAATAATAAAGAAACAACATTCGAATAAAGCTCTTAATAAAATTAAAAAAAAAAATAAATAATAATAACGATAACCACGATAAAAAAAGAAATAATAATAACAATAATACTAATAAAAATAACAACAAAAGCTTTAAATATATAATTATTGAAATGTCTTACCTCATCTACACCAATTTTTCGACAAGCTTCCAAGAAATTATCAACGTTACGCCTGCATTTAGCCATCGGAAGTTGAGGCTACGTAAAAAAAAAATTCAATAATTTCGTATAAACATGTTAATATAAGATTTTATAAATATAATTTGATTTAATATAATTAAACGATACTTACTACAGCTGGTGAAGGTACATGTATGCTGGCTACCGATCGTGGCCTTACGTGATTGGCCAAGTGACAAAGTACTACGCCATCGGTCAATGCTGGCGCCAGGTTTTCCGGTAAAGCCATTTTCAGTCTCGTTTCTATATGCTGTTGCAACGTTCAAACGAAAAAGAAAAACAATGGGAATGATTCATTAAAAATATCTCACGCACAATAAACCGACGACGACGATTTTAAACTTATTTTAATTATTCAACCTAAATGCATCGAAGTAAATTAACTTGGCACAATTTTATTCGATTAAATAAATGCAAAAATTCAAGTGACTAATAATAATATTAATAATGATAATAATAATAATAATAATAATAATAATAATTAGAAGATGAAGAAGAGGAAGAAACGGAAGTGGTAATTTTTGTTCTTAAACGAAGCTAACAAAATGGCTTCGACACTCACGTTCCTGAGCTGTTCGATCAAATCGGCTTCCTCTTTGGCACGTTCAATCTCTCTTCTTATTGTGAACGAATATTTCTCTGGCAAATTGCTATTCCACGTAACGGACCTTGACGATTTTGGACTCCCACCATTTCTGCTTGGACTTTTATTACCTAATTATTTAAAAAAAAAGAAGAGAAAAAAAACAAAATATATCCTTGTAAGATAAATTAAGAAAATATTCAATAAAACATAATAATCTTATAATTCATACAAGTTGCTATAAATAAATGATAATAATTATAGTAAATATAATATTCTACTTTTATTAGTAGATATTTTTAAAATATCCATTATAAATACATTTACATATAATTCATCAAATATTTAACACATCTCACAAATCATTAAATTAATGTAAAAAAAAAAAAAATACATAATAAATTAAATCTATAAAATGCTTACCTTCGACATATCCAACAGCAGTTTTGACTAATCTGGGAGTATGACCTGGACTAGTATTATTAGACATAATACTACTCGAAGTTTTGATCGGTGAATTAGGTTTTTTGTAAGGCTGCTCGTGATACTTTCCATTTTTATTATTGTACTCGTTATTGCTACCATTGATGATCGGTGTATTTTGATAATTGATCCTCGATGGCGTAACCTTTTGCACGGGCCTCTTGGTTGCATTTTCCTCGTTGAAAATTTGCTTGCCTGTAAGGGCAATGCCCTCCTTAGCTCCGTTCGAGTCAGTCTCGTTGTTCTGTGATTCGTTGCCCGGAGGTGTCACCTGTTCACGTGGTCTGTAAACACTTGGACCCTCGTTGGCCCTTTGTTGCCTCAATGCTTCCTTGTATTCCCTGAAGAAGAAAGAAAGGTTCAACACAATGCCAATTGTTCCGAAACAATTCTCGTTGGAAATCTCAACACCATGGATCGATAGAAAACAATACGTAAATTTGTCGTAATTATTTATATTTGATTGATCGATCAAAAAAAAATAATAATAATAATAAATTAATAAACATTCAAAAATTTGGAAATGTAATTATTGATCAGACCAATATAAATTGAAAAACAAAACGCAAACACGCACAATCTTATAATAATGTTAACGCAACTTTACACTCGTTAAATTCTATTCAGAAATGTAATATTACGAGTTTGTTATAAATTAGTTAGAGAAACAAAACAAGATTTACCTGTACGTTTGAATCTGATTCAATGGCCTCTTATCATCCCCATTCAAAAGCGACGTAGAATTACTCGTTGCTTGAATTGGCTGCATAGACTGTGTCATTGAAATTGTCTGCGACTGGTTCGTATGCGTTGTCTCTAAAGGACTGGAAAAAAAAACAAGACCCACGCACGATAATGCACATGCACATACATGCAAAAAGTTATTCGTTAGAATGAAAAAAAAAAAAAAACAAAAAAGAAAAAAAGAAACGAAATCATTTGAGTACAAATATCTTTTTGTTTACTTTTACAAAGGTTTAAAAAAAAAAGAAAAAGAAATTCGAAATTAACAATCCGTGAAAGACGTTTAATTTTTGGAACACTGATGAATAGTCGGATAAAAATATAACCTGTACAATACTTTTTAATTTCAATGTAATAAAAATTATTATTTTTTTTTCTAATGATTGAACAAAAGTATAAAAGTTAGAATTTTGACTAAATAGAATTAGAATTACGTTGGTCAATGAATCAATGTGGTTTTTCATTATTTATATTATTAGAACAAAATTGAATTAACTTATTGTCCAACTTAATTTTTGTTGTAAAGTTAAATTTAAAAAAATAAAATTTATTAAATTTTATAAATGAAACGAGTCAATAAAACTTTTTTTAGTGACTGCTAAAAACATTATGCTTAGAATAGATGCAATTTAGAAAATTGATTAGAAAAAGAATTGAAGAATCAGACTTTTGTGATTGTACAATTCGTTAAATTTCACTGCAATTCTATGATATATCAACAAAAATCTAGACACTAATAAATCATTACAATTTAACAGACACAGTAAGAAAAATTTCTTCTATCGAACAATTTTATCCGACTAATTGAAAATTTTTTGGATTAAAAAAATAAAAAAATAAAAAAGAGAACAGATCGATTTACCCTGGAGGTGTAATTGAAGTATGATGGAGGCCAGAGGTCATCGGTCTTCTGATGTCTGCCCCATTCTCGGAAGTGCTCCTCTCCAATCTTCTCTTCTCCAACTGATCGTGAAGTATCATGGCCTATACGAGAGAACAATATAATATACACGTCATACAATCACACACATACATAAATATAGATATATATGTTGACAATAGTGCTAACTAAGTACAATAAACGAATGATAAGTCAGGGATTTGAACGTGTCACGTTAGTAAAATGCTAGCGCATCATTTTAAAAGATGATGCTGTCTCAGAGACCAGGTCAAGGTCACTCGGATCGAAACTTGAACAAGGTCCAACGTGAGAGAAAAAGAGAGAGTGAGATAGGAAGAGTAATTCGAGTTTGATATTATCGTCGAGAGACTACAAGTGGGAATCTACTCGATCATGCTAAATATAGAACACCGAGTCATTTTCTTTAGTATTCAAAGAAGCCAACGTCCATTCCTCATTGCATAATACGATACGACTTTATTTTTTTCTTTCTCTTTTTATCTTGATAGAAACCCTAAATATATATATATATAAAAGTTGAAGAGGAGATAGCCTTTTATCGTATGCTTTTAGATAGGATTTCTGAAAATCTCGTGATAAGATGATAACTAAATCAACTAACGGATATGATAGATATGATAAATGTGATAAGGTACTACGAAGTTCTGTCTACGAGTTTTAATTTGAAATCTTATGAGTGTATGTTGGAATAACCTGATATATGTGAAAAGTTATTTTCTGAAAGGATACATTTTATAGAAATGTATTTTCTAGAGTTTCTGCAATTCTATAGTAAATGATATTACATTTAGAAGAAATTATTTTGCGAAGATATAAAAAAAAGTATATCAGATCTTTGCATGTGTAATTTGTTTAATTGAAAGATTTAATTTAATATTAGATTATTAAAAATACTAGAGAGATAGTTAGTAAAAAGATTGATGTAAAAATAACAGCAAACTAATTGAAATATTAAATAAAATACTACGAAAAGTATACTTCTAAAAATGTTAGTAAAAATACTATTTACTCGAATATAAAATACTAATATTAATTAAATATTTAAACATATAATATCAAAAATCCGAACATTTCTCAATGACCAAACTAATAAATGAATTTATAATATCTTTTTCAAATTAACATATTGTATATGACATTCTGTAACCAACCTTTCCCAGTTCGTCCTCCAAGGACGTATGTTCACCCGGTGAAATCGTGCTCGGTGTAGACGTGCCACTGCAAGATCCATTTATTCCGGTTTCATGTGGCAATGTTATGGAAAGTGGTGAACACTCTTGACGCCATAAACTTCGTACTTCACCATCGTGCACCTGCATGCAAAAATGATGCCCAACAAGAGAGGTATAAGAAGGTGTAACGTTAATCATACGTGTATGTTACACGTCTGATCAATAATCGATCATTATTTATTTTGTACACTCATGTTCTACATATCATTTGATTTAACCGAAATTAGTATTCTTTCGTGATATAATATAATACAAATTACGACAATATTTATTTAATTAACCAACTAAATATATAAATTAATATACAAATTAAATAATTATACACAATTATATTTTACAACTATAAATAAAAAATAAAATAAAATTATAATTCGTAATAGATTATAAAATAATTTTTATAATACATAAATGAAATCATTTTCCCGATATCATGTGATCATCCCTTATTTATTTACAATACTACGAAAGAAACAACAAAAATATTTTAACAAAGTTATCAACACACGTTTAAGAAAACAATTATTATTCGTCGATGATCGTTTCGAAGAAATACCAATGAAAAAATAAATATAATAATCTAAATGAAAGTGGTATGGTTAACAAAATTGTTAGAAAACTAACCGCGCTATGAATTTCTTGAGACCAACGTTTGTCAACGCCATCGCTGGTACTGTAACCACTGTCAACATTATGGCGTCTATGGGATCTAGTGTCCAAGGTTGCATGACCTCGAGCATCCAGTGGTCCTCTTCTTGCACGTCCTCCTCTCGCCCTCTCATGTTTCGCCGCTTGCCTTTCCAAGTACTTGAAGATGTGCGTTCGCCCGCGAATGCATAACTGAAGCAATTCATAAACTTCCTTGCTCTTTTTTTCTTCATATATGATATCTAACATATATCATGCTTTCTGTTAATCAATTATTTTCTATAAAAATACTCAAATTTACAAATATTTACGTGTACACCCTTTTAATCAATGCTTCTTTCTTATTTTGTCTTTTATTTAAAAATAATACCAATTATTATAAAAAAAAAAAGTTTTATCGAAAATGTTATCCTTGTAATATGTAACTTTTAACTCGTACAATTATTTATACATCTATATTTTTTTTATTTGTTCATATAAGAAAATTTTCCGTTTCATTTTTATCTTCGATAAAACTATAAGTCAAATTTGTTACAATTCTTGATATAATTGTTTTAAAAAAATATTATAAATAATAATATATATATATTTTTTTATTAATAAAATTTTTAAATTAATTTAATAATTTTTATATAAAATAATTAAATAAAATAAATATATTATAAAAAGTTTTCTAATTAATATATATGTGTTCGCAAAGATGATATAAATAAAAAAAAAAATTGATTCAAACTAGTGTGATGAATACTTACTGAGGCAGGCGGCGAGGTCAAAGGATTATCAGAGAGCTTAAAATCTACCAAGCTTTTCATCTTTCTCATTTCGTTTGGAAGCACAGATATCCGGTTACCGCTAATATCCAGCTTCACGAGCCTCAGGTACGTAAGTTCTGTGTTTTAAAAAGATTCTCATTAAACGATCACTATCATAACTAAGACAACGATCATTTTGCACGCTATGATTATACTTAGATTCTAACTAATTAAGTAAAGTAATTAACTTGTAAAATATCATTTTTTACTAGTTACACGAGAGAATAATATTAAATTATTATTAGGTCTCACGTATTACAACTTCTTTATCTTTCTAATATGCGAGTGTGTGCATATGTGCACGTTGCAGGAGATTATTTTTTAGATAAGATTTATCTTATGCTCGTTTATGACAATTACAAATTCAAAAATAGGTGCGGCTATTTACAATCTTGTATAGAAAATATTTTCAACGATTTATAATCAATCAATTATTTTCGAATTAACCGATGTCAAATGAAAAGATTTAACCAAAATAAAAACAAAATACTTGAGAACAATTATGGGGACGAATTTATACACCGTATCAACATGTATAAGAATTTAAATCGAGATAAGAGAAGATATTTTGTTACCTATAGGCAGGTGCACCAACAAGTTGCTCCTCAGGTCGAGAGATCTAAGTCGTGCAAGGTCACCTATACGAGGTGGAAGTGTCGCTATTTCGTTGCAACCTGCATCCAATTCAGCCAGTGCAGACATCCTACCCAATTCATCTGGTAAGGATGCTAATCTGTTGTGTGCGACCAATAACGTTTGAAGAGGTAGCCTACAGATTTCTCGAGGTAGAGAAGTCAATTGATTTCGACTGTAATGAATAATAAAATAATAATAAATATATAATAATAAAATTAAATTATTAATCGAATTTAATGACAAATAAATTATATTAAATGTAATTGATGTTAGATTGATGAAAGAAATGAATCAAATTATTTCTAATTTGTTAATTTGTAAATTTGTTAATATGAAAAAATAATAAAATATAATAAAAAATGAAAAGGAAAAATTGCAACCTAAGATCGAGGTAGTTTAATGACTGAAGCATCACGACAGTTTCCGGTATGATTCTTATGGCATTGTGGTAAAGGTGAAGTTTCTCGAGGAAAGGAAATTCCGTAACTTCTTCTGGCAACTCGACAAAACGATTCTTCGAAAGATCTGTAACAAAAATAACAAGAATAAAACATTAACGAGTGTTTATAAGATGACAAGTGTATAAACTAAGAAGACAACATTCTTAATCATTATGCAGAAGTACTGAAAATATTTCTCTCAACGTTTCATAACATTGAGTTAAATCAACTTGACAATATATTTCACAGATATTTGTTCGAAATTTTTATTGATGTTCTATTGATATGAATAATTTGATGATCAATGAACAATGAATGTTCAAATTTTGTTGACAAATACTAAAATTATTCAACAATATTTCCCAAAAATTTACCAATAAAATAATTCAATCCTTAAAAAATATTCAGCATTTAGTTGACAAATTTCGATACAATTTATCAAACCTGCTTAAAAATATTTAACAAAAATTTGTCTAACAGTTAAATCCTTGTAAGAAATCCAACATGACCTGGTAAGTCATTGACTCATTGGTAGGAGGAGGGGTGGGTTGGTGTACACGTTCGATAAGGATGGAAGAAGCAGGGTAGTTATTGATCAGAAAGGAAGTCCCAAGTTGGGAACAGGCTTTGCAGTAGCAGTAATAGCAGCCACCCTTATCCTTTTCCAAAACTACCTCTACGGGGTTGCTCAACCCGCACGTGGCTGCCTGTCGTCACACACCTCCCCAATTCACAAGGATTCTTAGCAAGCAGCAAGGACGACCACCACCACCATCACACCACCAGCACAACCCTAAGCAACTTAAGCTCTCTTTTTACACAGCTGTTGCTACGGGAAACATATCGGTGCCTTATTAAGGCCGCTAGCACCAACACCACCACCACCTCCTCCACCTCCCCCTCATCCTCATACATCTCAACCTTACCGGTTTCTTAACAAGAGCCATTACTTGATATACTCGTTGCAATACGATATTCCTCAGAACATTTATAAGTTTACATCAATGTGTCGATCGAGTTTATTAGAAATTTCTGATGATAAATTATGTTTATTAAAAGTGAAATTTACAAATTTATCTTTAATAAATATTAATTAGTTAAAAATCAATCAATCCTTTTTTGTAATTGTAATGTTAGAATGCTTGTCTCATATATTTATAGTATTCAAATATTATTTTATTTTCTACATATAACAGAAATAAAATAATCTATAATAATATTTTTTCTTTGTAAATATAAATCAATCCTATACGTTATTTTAAAGTCACATACTTATAATATATTTCTATCATTTAAATATTATTATATTATTTGATTATTTTATCTGTAAAGATATCTTACATTAATTTACATTAATGTATCACGAAAATATTTTATAATATTTTTGAAAGTTAAATACAACTCATACTGACATTATATTTTGAACGTAATATAATTATGGTAATAAAGATATTATAAAGTTTTCTCTAAGTAATTTAATTCAAGATTAGAAGGCAAAAATGTCAAAAGATAGTTAATATTCTAGAGAGTAATTATTTCTAGTAGATAAATATTGTTATCATTATACGCAAAACTACATCTTTGGACATGTCATTTTGTTTGTGTATATTAAAAGCACGCATTATATTATACAAACGAGACGAAGAATATAATCCTTTCACTGTCACGTTCGCACGAACTTTGTCGCTCTTTTTGGATCGTTTAATTACAGAGAAACGTGCCACGACTGAGAACAAATTTTTTCTCTTTCTATTCTAACTCTATGACTACTACTACCAAATGAAAAATTTATAACGTTTGTTCAAATAATTTAAAAATTTTTATCTCAAATGAATTATATCCAAATATAATTAACGATTTAATCAACTACCGATAATTGTCAAAAAATGAATTTCTTTATCATTTTTAATACTCATTTAAAATCATCTAAATACTAATATTGAAAAACTTGTCAAAGTCACTGTTGAAATATTGGAATCATTTCAATCGAAATAAAATAATTAACGATTTATTATAATTACGATAGGTTATTATTTCCTATCGCGCGCGCGCGTGCGTTTTTAATCTTTATTATTAAAAATATTTGAGGTTCATTGTAATATTCGAGCAACGATTCGAACTGTAAAGTAAAATATAGAAACTATTTTAAATTGCAACGAAATTACACCAATCTTTCTCACAATTTTATTGTTAGTTATAATCGCACGATCTTAAATGTTAAAAATATTCAAGGTCATTGTCGAATCTTCGAAGAGTCAAAGTTTTATGTTAACCAGAGAAGGTTAAACGAGTTAAAGTAGAACCCTATCATCATTCGAGATACGATCCAACTTTGAACAAACTTGATTTTCCGGTCTGGAGTTTTAAACTCTCTTAGGTTTCTTAGGATATAAGAAAATCAAAAAAGAACAAATCTTTTAAATCTCGTTCAAGATACACATATATACAAGAAAGATAGAAAAAAAAAGAGAGAGATGCATTTCAAGTTGAATCCAACTAACATAAGGAAAAGAAAATATTTGCCACTTCTCTTTCTTTTTCTTCTTTTTTTATCGTACAATCGAAGTGGATTAGAGTTAATTCACGGAAATTTTACGAATTTCTCATCCGATGAGTTTGACAAATATCCCCGTGACACTCCTACCCATTCAATTCGAAAGATCCGAACGGAAATTGGCAATCGTCGTGTCAACAGAGATACGAAGGTATACCCAAGTAAAGTTTACTCCTTACCCGAACAAACTCAACGCTAAAATCCCTTCCTGCTAAAATGAGATCATGAATAAAAAACGAGACGAACGAAGTTACTTAGTGGATAATAAAAATAAAAAAACAGCACGAGTAAAAGTTGATGATAATAAAAAGAAGATATCAAGGTTGTTGAGTCAATAAATTTTCAAATTGTGCAACGTAATGGTTGCTTTTTATATATCGATAAGTACACTGTGTTCAATTTTTATCCATTAACGCGTTTGTGCATTGAATTGTTTTTCAGGACTAAATTAATTTCAATTCGATATGGTGGTTCGATGCAATCATAAAAATTGTGTGATGAATTTTAAATTCTAATTGAGAAAATACTTGAATTATATTAAATCAAAATGTGTAAGCAACTTGGTGTTTTAAAAAAGATGCGTCCATAATTGTAGAAAAAATACTGATGCATGAGCACTCCCAACAGAAAAGAAAAACTATTCTTACTTAGCGAATAATTATGAAGTCACTTTCTTACAACAACGAAGTATCCTGTTATCCAAATGAAAAGTATAGCAAAGCTGATAAAAACGGACTCCTTTTAGCCAAACGTGAAAGTCATGCAAATAAGAAACAGAACCTAAGTAGGAAAGCAATTTGTTTGGTTAATGTATGTAGTAGAGGTTGGTATTTTCTACAGTCAGCTTTTTACAGTCTAGACTGGTGAAAAAAACTAGTACCAGGAGTCTGGCTAGACTCCTGGAAAGTATCTCTCTCTCTCTCTCTAAAGTCTCTAAAGACGTCGTCCAAAGCAATTCAATAGGATAAGAAGAAAAAGAAGAAAAATGCGTTTCTTCGGTTCTGGCTAATACCAAGGACGACGATATTAATTTTATCCCTTGCAATAGGGGTAGATTTCATACCAGGGATGTAATTATATGTCTCAAGGTCTTTACCATAAATCAGGATTTCAACAAAATTCAAATTCAACCATTTATTGAGAAAAAAAATTCAATTAAAAACCTAACTAATTTGAAATTAAATAAAAATATTATAGCAACATTGAATTATATAATAAATATATTTATAAATATAAATTAGTTAAAACCCTAATTTTTATATGCCAAAAAGATTATATTTTTTGATTGATATTTTAGCAAATATACTAAAGTTGTATTTTATATAAATTATTACTTGCAAAATAATAAATTTGTCAAGATGTGATCCTATATAGGGGTTAGGAAAACCTAACTAATTTGAAATAAAATAAAAATATTATAGCAACATTATGTGAGTTATATAAGTATATTTATAAATATAAATTAGTTAAAACTTAAATTTTGATATGCAGAACAGATTATATTTTTTGTTCTTGATTTTTTTTAACTTAACAAATATTCTAAACCTGTATTTTATAAATAATTACTTGCAAAATAATAAATTTGTCAAAATGTGACCCCATATTGAGAATTGAAAGTTTAGTTTTGTGCCTTATGGTAAATGCGACAATGTATTGGGGAAATGAAGATTTAAGGAGTCTTTTTCCTTGTTCAAATGGATCGAAAATAAGTTTTCGAAGAAGGGAAGATAATTTGAGATTGTTAGGGGTGGAAGAGAAGTATAGAATCAATGGTACACGGTCGATCGAATAATCATGGAGGAAAAGGGCGTCGGCTATCCGTTCGTTCATTCGTTCAAGACAGGGATGGTGGAACCCCTTGCGCACGAGAGAATCTCCCCATAAATATATATATATATATACTTTTGTGTATGTATGTATATGTATACGTGGCGCAACCAATTCTCATGGAATATACATAGAAATACTTGTGAGCTTTCGAACTATTATTTCGCCTACGTTCTTGGCAGTCCTGCAAAATTTTCTTCCTCCCTTGTCCCTCGTCACACGCAGATCCGCCATTTTGAAAAAGGGACGAGAACTTTCCTCGTGTCTACTCTTCTTCCTTCATCTTCCATCTTTCTTCTTTTCATCTCTCTGTCTTTCTCTTTATATACTTGCTTTCTAACGCACATTTTAGGTCTGACAAAAACTGTCATAAAGGGGGGTTGGGGGTGAATAACGACACAACAGTTAACAAAACTTTACTAACTTTCCTTTTGACGTAAATTTGAAGGATGAAAAATGTAAGGTTGTTTGTTGTCTACATTTTCCTCGATCGATCTTTCATAATAATAATCTGACATTCGCATAAAAATATCTCTTATAATTATTTCCAAAAATCACATTTATCATAAACTCGAAACTTTCTTATATCTTTCTTTTTCTATAGAAATTGAAAGATATTTTTGATAATACGAAATAACATTCCTTTACGTTAAATAACATAGTGCAAGTTTCAAAATGATAAATGAACAATAAACAAAAACAAC